TTTAAAAAAATATTTTATTTTTTATAAATTGTATTTTTTCATATTTCATTTTTATTAAATATTTTTATTTTTTTACTTTACTGTTGGGAGCTTCGGGGAAATATTGCGGGTCTAAACAGACCCATGATATTTCCCTTTTAAAATAGAGAAAGAGATTGAGGACACAGAGCCCTCAATCTCTTTTTCTGCAGCCGTTGTTATAAATGAACTCTATACTGAGTGTTCCTGTTCATTCATAACATGAGAACAGAGTGTGTTTACTATAACCACAATCATGAATGAACAAGAGGTGATGTACATCTCTTCCCATTCATTCATGATTGAGGATATAGTAACCAGGCCTCTGTCCTCAATTATGTACACACACTCAGCGATCACTGATCAGTGACTGCTTGTACTTGCTTTCCATCCTGACAGCTGTCATAGGAGGCTGAGCGAGCGGTGTGAGGAAGAGAGCTCAGCCTCCTGTGATAGCGCGGGCTGTCTCCACCCACACACCGCTCTCCTAGAGGGGAGATGTGTGAACAGAGGGGATGTGGGGTAGAGTGGGAACTGTATTTGTAGTCCTATATAGTTGATGTACTCGGTCTAGAAAACCTAGGTACAGACATGTATTAATATGGATGGGAGGCAGAGTTAATTGACTACAAGTGCGGTGCAAAGGCAGCCGTCTGAGGGTGCGCTCAAGCTTTTTCCAGCCACTGTACCCTTTAAAAAGATGCAAAATATGGAGGAACCTCAGTCTAAAATGTAAAAAGCTTAAATGCAAAAAAACTGACCTGGTCCCTCCAAAACCAATACCAGACCCTTATTCTACACAGGGGTCTGGTATAGATTTTAAGGGAGGACTCAACACAAAAAAACCCCCATAAAAATACAATGGAGGTTCCCCCTTTCACATTAGGAACCCCCTTCACATCAGAGCCCCCCTTTCACACCAGATTCCCCCTCCACATCAAAGTCCTCTCCTTTCACATTAGAGTTTCCCCCTTCACATTAGAGTGTCCCCCCCTTCACATTAGAGCTCTCCCCTTTCACATCAGAGTCCGCCTTCAAATCAGGAGCCCATTTCACATCTGGGTCCTTTCCTTTCACATCAGAGTCCCTCTTCACATCAGCACCCTTCTCACTTAGGAGCCCCCTTTCACAGCAGGGTCCCCCTTACCATAAGAGTATTTTCCTTTCACATCAGAGTCCCCATTCACATCAGAATCACCCTTCACATCAGGAGCCACTTTCACATCAGTCCTTTCCTTTCATATCAGCACCCTTCTCACATCAGAGTCCCCCTTCACATCAGGAGCACCTTCACATCTGAGATTTACCCCTTGACCTCCCTTCACATCATAGTCATCTCCTTTCACATCAGGAGCCCCCTTCACATCAGACTACCCCTTCACATCGGGAGCCTTCTCCTTTCATATGAGTCACCATCTCTCACACTTGGAGCTCCCTTTTTTTTTTATTTAGGAGACTCCATTTATGTCATAGAAACACAAGCTGTATTGCAGTAGCATGTAGCTGTAGGTAGGGTATTCCAAACTGTTATAAAGCAATTTGTGCAGAGAGATACCCCGGTCTGTAACCATTTAGCCTGTAGGTAGGTTTCCCCAGGCTGTGATAAGGTAGCCTATAGGTAGGTTTTCTTGGGCTGTGATAAGGTTGTCTGTAGGTAAGTTATCTTGGGCTGTGATAAGGTTGTCTGTAAATAGGTTACCACAGGCTGTGATAAGGTTGTCTGTAGGTAGGTTATCACAGGCTGTGATAAGGTTGTCTGTAGGTAGCTTATCTTGGGCTGTAATAAGGTTGTCTGTAGGTAAGTTATCCCAGGCTGTGATGAAGCAGCTTGTGTAGATAAAGTATCATTTGTCTGTAGGTGGCCATAAGGCAGCTGTATTAAGGCATCATGCAGCCTCTGGATATGGAGGGGTTAATTGCAGGCAGCCTGTGGTTTGGAGGGGTTAATGGCAGTCTGTGGTAATGGAGGGATTAATGGTAAGCACTCTCTGGTGATGGAGAGGGTAAGGCAGCCTGTAGTGATGGAGAGGTTAATGTCAGGCCTTCTGTGGTGATGGAGAGAGTAAGGCAGCCTGTGGTGATGGAGGGGTTAATGTCAGGCAGCCTGTGGTGATGGAGGGGTTAATGTCAGGCAGCCTGTGGTGATGGAGGGGTTAATGACAGGCAACCTGTGATGATGGAAGGGTTAATGGCAGACATTGTGTGGTGATGGAGGGGTTAATGGCAGGCAGTGTGGTGATGGAGGGGTTAATGGCAGGTATTGTGTGGTGATGGAGTGGTTAATGGCGGGCATTGTGTGGTGATGGAGGGGTTAATGGCAGGTATTGTATTCTGATGGAGGGGCTAATGGCAGGCATTGTGTG